AGTATGAAAGACAACCCTTACCAACCATCCGCTGGGCCTTCAGAAATGAAATCACCCTACTGGGAACAAAATCAGTCAAACCTCGCCACTCAATCCGTGGCACACCCGGCATCGCCAACGTCACTGTCTTAGCATGACAGTCCAATATAGCACGACACAGAGATAGCCAATCCATGCCCAATATCACATCAAAGTCCACCATGCAAAGCAACAAAAGGTCCACTCGGGTCTCCAGACCCCCAATAGTCACCACACACGACCGGTCCACAATAATAGTATCGCCCACCCGAGTGGATATACGAATAGATGAAATAAGAGACTCACGGGGCATATCCAAATAACGAGCAAAATATGATGACACATACGAATAAGTAGAGCCAGGATCAAATAACATAGAGGCATCTCTGTGGTAGACTGAGACGATACCTGTAATCACCGCATCTGAAGCAATAGTATCGGGTCTAGCTGGAAGTGCATAGAAACGGGTCTGACCGCCACATGATCGACCTCCCCCTCTAGGGCGACCCCTAGCTGACTGTCCCCCACCCCTAGCTGGCTGGGCGGGTGGTGAAGTAATTGGTGCTGAAGTCGAGGGCTGACTCCTCTGCTGAGATGAACCCCCAAGATGACGAGGACACTGACTCCATATATGCCCCAACTCTCCACATTCATAACAACTCCCTGGTACTGGAGACGGGGACTGAAGGGAACCCCTAGCACCGGGATGACTAGCTAAAGAACCTGGCATAGAAGATCCCTAAACTGATGGAACACGGGACGAACTCTGGGCTGGAAGGGCACTGAGTGATGAATGGCCCTGATGAGAACCGTGAGAACCATGGCCCGAAGATGCCCACGATAAGCTGGGCGAGCCGACTAAGCATGCCTGAAGGGACGACCTCTAACGTGCTGAAACTGGCCTCTCGAAAGAGCGCCACCAAAACTACCAGATCCTCGAGGCCTCTTGGGCTCCCTCTCATCTCGCTCCTGGCGATGAACTGACTCAATCTCTCGAGCAATATCAACAACCTGCTCAAAGGTAGCGCCGGACTTCCTCTCTATGGCCATGAGAATCTGAAGCTGATCTGTGAGGCCATCCACGAACCTCCTGATCCTCTTTCTGTCCGTAGGAACCAACCAAGTAGCATGACGAGCTAACTCTGAAAATCTCATCTCATACTGCGTCACAGTCATATCTCCCTGATGCAACTGCTGGAACTGCCTCCGCAGCTCCTCTCTGCGGGACTGTGGCACATACTTCTCCAAAAAGAGAACGGAGAACTGCTGGCAGGTAAGGGGTGCTGCATCAACCAGCCTACGCCTCTCATAAGCCTCCCACCAAGTAAAGGAAGCTCCAGAAAACTGAAAAAGTAGTAAATGCTATCCCGCTGGTCTCCAGAATACCCGCTGTACGAAGAATCCTCTGACACTTGTCCAAGAAACCCTGGGCATCCTCGCCCTCTGTACCACTGAAAGTCAGAGGCTGAAGTCTCCCAAACCTCTCCAATCTGCGCTGCTCGTCCTCTGACATAACCGGAGCTACATAACCCTGAGCAGCTGCAACAGGCTGGGCTGGAGGTGCCCCCGGTGTCTGAAGTCCCTCCACGACCTGCTCAGGTTTGCGAGCGGCGGGAGTCTGAGTGCCTCCCCCAGCCTGAGAAGTAGCTGCGGCTGTAGTAACTGAGACTGCCTGAGCTAGGCCAGTGCACACTGATAGAATCTGGGCCAGGGCCTCCTGAAGGCCTGGTATCACAATAGGCACATCCGGTGCCTGAGCTGGTGCTGCTGGAGCATCCACAACTGGGACCTGATCATGAACTGGGGCTGCTAGTGGATCTGCAGGTGCTGCCCTAGCTGCTGTGCGGGCTACACCTCTACCCCTATCACGGCCTCGAATGCGTCCTCGGCCTCTGGTGGCCCCAGCTGGTGGTACTGGTGGTCGTCCATCCTGACCGGTAGCACGTGTCCTCACCATCTGTGAGAGAATAGAATAACAGAAGTTTAGTACCAGAATCAACAGATTCGCACGACAGGAATTCAAGAATATGAAGTTTTCCTAAAGGTTCTGCAGCCTTCCAAGGATAAATACAGACGTCTCCGTACCGATCCGCGAGACTCTACTAAACCTGCTCATGACTCGTGAGACCTATGTAACCTAGGCTCTAATACCAACTTGTCACGACCCTAAAACAAACCCGGTCGTGATGGCACCTATCGTGAAACTAGGCCAGCCGACACAAACCCCAAAACCACCCAGACATTTATAATAAGTCATTTTAAGTCATTCATTAGCTAAAATCCCATAATATAAGTTAAAATAAACAGTGTGGAAACATAACACAGCCCGACATCGGGGTGTCACCAGTTATGATCAACCACAACTCGTCTTGGAATAAGAAAAGACAACATAGTCTGAAAAACAAATGCTAATACAAAGCTGAATAAGATAGGAAGGAGAAGCACTGGGCTGCGAATGCCAAGCAGCTACCTAGTCAACTCCGGAGACCCGCTGGCTAATCAGCATCCCTATCGCGACCCGAGACTCCTGGATCTGCACACAAGGTGCAGGGAGTAATGTGAGTACGCCAACTCAGTAAGTAATAAAAGTAAAGGCAGTTGAGTAGTAAGAAAGCACGTAAATCATGTCATAACGCTACAGCAAAACAGTATAAGTCCAGAGAGATGCAGTAAAACAATAAAACTCGTAAAAACAACTCAGTTCAGTAAAACCCTTTTAAAACATCTTTCAATAGTTTTAAACGAGTGATGAAAACAGTGAGTAAAAGGATAGAAACGTAAACGGCCCCTTGGACAAAACAAGTACCATAAACCGCCCTTCAGGCATAATATCAACAGAACCAGCCCCTCGGGCTACCTTACAATCACTCGAAATCAGCCCCTCGGCAACAACATGGAACAACAATAGCCCCTCGGGCAATATCACATCACACACATGGGTACCGGCGCTCAGTGGGGGTGTACAGACTCCGGAGGGGCTCTTACAGCCCAAGCGCTAACATAAGCCATCTCGTGGCATAACAAATCCTCAGCCTCTTATATATCACAAATCAGTACAACCTGCTGCGGCATGCAGCCCGATCCCATGATATCGTCACAACACAAGCCCTCGGCCTCACTGTAAGGACCCGTAAAATTCTTAACCAAAAACTCAGGATTTCGTGGTGCCGAGTTGGATTCTTGTGTTATTATGCTATGAGTGGTCGATAGAGTGCAGAGGATTCTCCAGATGTCGCTACAGGTATATTGACTGTTCAATCTCATGACGTGTATGCCCTCATTGATCCCGGATCTTCTTTATCCTATGTTACTCCTTATGTTGCTACAAGCTTCGGGACAGAACCGAAATAGATTCATGAGCCGTTCTCCGTATCTACTCCGGTTGGCGAGTCTATTACGGCTGCACGGGTTTATAGAGATTGTGTGGTCACGGTGCATGGTCGGTATACCATGGCCGAACTTATTGAACCGGGAATGGTTGATTTTGATGTAATAATGGGAATGGACTGGCTTTATTCATGCTTTGCCAAACTCGATTGCCGAACTAGGACCATGAGGCTTGAGTTTCCTAATGAGCCAGCTGTCGAGTGGGAGGGGAATAATGTTACGGCAAAAGGTAGGTTTATTTCTTACCTTAAGGCCACGAAGATGATTAGGAAGGGGTGTATTTATCATTTGGTTGCGTACACCACTGCTGAGGTGCCTACCCTTGAATCTGTACCAATTGTGAATGAATTCCCCGATGTGTTTCCGGATGAGCTCCCTGGGATTCCTCCAGACAGGGAGATCGATTTTCGGATTGAAGATAAGGGAGCGGGATATTCCGAAAACAGCTTTTAGAACCCGGTATAGGCACTTTGAATTTATGATAAAGTTTTTCGGGCTAACCAATGCCCCGGCAGCTTTCATGGATCTTATGAATCGGGTCTTCAAGCTGTTTCTTGACTCCTTTGTGATAGTATTCATTGACGACATCCTTGTATATTCACAAAATCGTGAGGATCACGCCGACCACCTCAGGGCAGTTTTGCAGACTCTTCACCAACACCAATTGTATGCAAAGTTCTCAAAATGTGAATTTTGGCTTGAATCCGTTACATTTCTAGGGCATGTCGTCTCCGGAGAAGGAATTAAGGTTGGCCCTCAAAAGATCGCATCGGTAAAGGAATGGCCTAGACCTACCACCCCAACAGAGATTCGCAGTTTCTTGGGTTTGGCTGGGTACTACAGGAGGTTTGTGGAGGGGTTCTCCACTCTTGCCTCTCCATTGACCAAGCTAACGTAGAAAGCGGTCAAGTTCTAGTGGTCCGATGCTTGTGAAAGGACTTTCCCGGAATTGAAGTCAAGATTGACTTCGACGCCAGTGTTGACCTTGCCGGATGGTACAGAGGGATTTATGGTGTATTGTGATGCTTCAAGGATTGGTCTTGGGTGTGTATTAATGCAACATGGTAAGGTTATAACTTATGCTTCGAGGCAACTTAAGGATCATGAGAAGAACTACCCAACTCACGACTTAGAACTTGCGGCGGTGGTGTTTGCATTAAAAATCTGGCGTCATTATTTGTATGGAGTTCATGTAGACGTATTCACCGACCACAAGAGTCTTCAATACATTTTCAAACAGAAGGAATTGAACTTGAGGCAAAGAAGGTGGCTTGAGTTGCTCAAAGATTATGACATCGACATTCTGTATCATCCAGGGAAAGCTAACGTAGTGGCGGACGCTCTTAGTCGGAAATCTATGGGTAGTTTGGATCACTTGGAGGCAGATCAAAGGCCCTTGGCCCGGGAGGTTCACCAGTTGACCAGTTTGGGAGTTCGTCTTGCGCACTCTAGCGAAGGGGGAGTGATTGTGCGGAACAGGGCGGAATCATCGCTTGTGGCAGAGGTCAAAGAAAAATAATACCACGACCCAGTGTTGGTATAGCTGAAGGAAGGGATTCATAAACATAAGACTACGGCCTTCTCTCTTGGCATGGATGACGGTACATTACGGTACCAAGGGTGGCTATGTGTTCCAAATATGGATGGTCTTCGAGAAAGAATCATGGCAGAAGCTCACACTTCTAGATATTTTGTGCACCCAGGTTCCACGAAAATGTATCATGACCTCAAGGAAGTCTACTGGTGGAATGACATGAAGAGGGGCGCAACGGACTTTGTGGCAAAATGTTCAAACTGTCAACAAGTGAAGGCGGAACATCAAAGGCCCGGTGGGTTGGTTCAGAGTATAGAAACTCCAATGTGGAAATGGGAAATGATCAACATGGATTTTGTGGTGGGGTTACCGCGCACTCCATGTAAGTTCGACTCAATCCGGGTGATCGTGGACCGACTCACGAAATCAACACACTTATTACCAGTTAAGTCCACCGACACTGCGGAACAGTATGCTCAATTGTATATCAAGGAAATAGTCAGGCCTTACGGCACTCCCGTTTCCATCATTTTCGATCGAGGGGCCCCAGTTCATAGCTAATTTCTGGAAGAAATTTCAGCAAGGTTTGGGTACGCAGGTAAATCTCAGCACAGCTTTCCATCTGCAAACGGATGGGCAAGCAGAGCGGACTATTCAGACGCTTGAGGATATGTTGCGCGCTTGTGTGCTTGACTTCAAGGGTAGCTGGGATGATCATATGCCGCTTATAGAATTTGCTTATAGCAACAGCTTCCATGCCAGTATTCAGATGGCACCGTTTGAGGCCTTGTATGGTAGGAGATGTAGGTCGCCGATTGGGTGGTTCGAGGTTGGAGAAGCCGAGCTAATAGGACCAGACCTGGTGCATCAAGCTATGGAGAAGGTTAAAATTATAAAATAGCGGTTGGAAACTACACAGAGTCGTCAGAAATCCTATTCGGATGTTCGTCGCGGAGACTTGGAATTCAAGGAAGGCGATTGGGTATTCTTGAAGGTAACCCCCCATGAAGGGGATAATGCGGTTTCGAAAGAAAGGGAAATTGAGTCCGAGGTATGTCGGGCCATATAGAATCATTCAAAGGATAGGTCAGGTAGCATACAAGCTTGAGCTGCCACCTGAGATGTCACTGGTGCACCCGGTATTTCATGTGTCTATGTTGAAGAAGGTAGTTGGAGACCCGTCCGCTATTGTGCCGGTTGAGACCATTGAGGTTAGTGAAGAATTGTCCTATGAAGAGATCCCGATTGCTATTCTTGATAGACAGGTCCAAAAGTTGAGAAATAAAGAAATTGCATCCGTAAATGTATTATGGCGAAACCAGCAAGTAGAAGAATCTACTTGGGAAGCCGAGACTGAAATGAGAAAGAAGTACCCTCATTTGTTTGAATAGACCATGTAATAGTTCTATGAAGTTGTTTCCCCTAAAAAAAATTTGTATTACTTGTTTGGCTTATATAAAGACATCCCATTCTAGTTATATGCCCTTATGAGGCTTCGATTGGTGTTGTTTTGGCGTTCTGTCAGGTTATTTAATCTTTCACATGTTGTTAAGATGTGTTTCGGGGGCTCTCTGGCAGGTGGATAGGCCCAATTACAAAGGAAACTCTGGCCCATAACCATTATGCGGTCGCATATGCGACCGCAAACCTGTATCGGGGCACCCATTTTCTTAATTTAGAACCCGACCCCCTTTCCGTTAAAACATCCCCCTTAGGCCATTTTCAGCATACTTTCTCAGATAATTAGAGTAAGAGAGGAGGATCAAAGAGAGGGGAAGGGGCCTCCATTCATTTTTTATCAAATCTTAGCCTAAACATCTTGAAAATTAACAAACAAGGCACCTAGGTCTCCCTTCTAAGAGGTAAGCTTCTATCACCCAAGCTCTCAATTCCCTATTGTAGCTACAATGGACCTCTAGTGAGGTAATTTATGGGGATTATAGTGGTTACCTTGCATGCATGTGATCATAAGGTATGTGGGGGGGATGCTAAGACAAAGAAAGGAAAAACTAGGGAATGGGTTGGGGAAATCTTCCACTAAAAAGGCATGGACCCCAACAAACACATAATGTTTGATATAATGCTCAATTGAGCTAGGGCTATGATCAATTTCCTAATAATGAGTTCAATTGTGCTACATTGTTAAATAGATTGAAGGTGCTAAAGGTTCCGGAACTTGTCGTAGGAATTAGGGAAAGACTCAAATGAGGTATGTATGGCTAATCCTCTTCTTCTTAGAATTGAACTCTTGGTGTCCGAATAATTGGCATGAGTTCTGAATTGATCATACTAAATGGTTTGCCTTTATGTATTGGGGTGAATGATTTATGTTCCATATTTGTTCTAAGTGTTGCCCTGAAATCATGCTATTTCAAAATGTGATCATGTTCTCCAAGCTTTCCTTTTTGTTTTCTTTTCTTTCCTTGTGTGCGCATGCCTTATATGATAGCACTTGTTGACATGGTTATTGACGATATTTGGGCAAATCATAAAGAGAAAGACTTGAATTATAAGAGGTGTCCAAGTTCCAAGAACTACTTAATAAATGGGGCTGCTTGTGTCAAGTAATGAAAGATGGAAAGAAATGTAAATGAAATGGATAATTGAAAGAGGTTATGTCCCAAGTGAGATGGCTCAGCCGATCGGGCCGAGATCGGACGCCATGCTGTACACATGGTGGCATTTATGCTGGACTTCTGTTATCATTATTAATTTGGATATGTCTCACTTGGGATGGCTTAGCCGGTCGAGCCGAGACCGGAATCTGTGTAAAAACTACGGTGGCATTATGGGGTGTGGCACTTGGCACTAATGATCATCAACCTAAAGGAGATGGAAAGAATGAACCAGAACGATGTGATCCTTATTTGGTGGTTCCTTGTAATTCTGTGAAGTACTAACTGCCTTCTACTTGTTTCACTGTTCATTCTAATAAGATTTGTGTTTGCCTTACATACTAGTGCTATTTGACAGTACTAACGTCCCTTTTGCCGGGCGCTACATCTTTGAATGGATGTAGGTGGTTTCATCGCAGATAGCGCCGATCGCAGATAGGGGTGCTCTCTTTCTCTCTCCTTACAGTAGTCTTGTTGAGCCCCCGTTACTCCCAGGGGTTGTGTAGTCCTTCTTTTCTGTAAATTACCATATTTTGAGGTATAGCCGGGGCCTTGTTGCCGGCATTGTCATGCTGATCTTTTGTATCCTTAGAGGCTCCGTAGACACTTATGTGGGTCATGTATGGGTGTCGGGATGGTTATTGGATCACATTGTATTTTTGAAACTCTTCCACTAGATTGTCAACTGTATGCACCTTTGGAAACTTAATTATGGCCTATGGCGTTTAAGTAAAAATGGACTAGTAACGTTTTCACATTTATATGACTGATCTCTTCCCTGTTTAACAAATGGTAACATGTTCCCTTTTTGGTTCATGAATGAGTCGGGTAGGAGAGACTGGATAGGCTTGCTCGATGGGGATCACTCGATCGTGCGCCGGTCGCACTCCCCGAGGTTGGGGCGTGACACTCACTCAGTCAGAACTCACTCAAGCCTCTCGGGCTAACAGTAAAACAGGTACTCAGCTCAAAATATCATTTATAAAATCAAAAGGAGTAAATAAAACTCGAGTTATGAAATCAGTGAAAGTATAGCATGACTGGCTGTAAATATCATCAAAACAGTGAGGATACAGTAGTAAAAAAAAGCCCCTAAGGGTCCAAACAGTCGGCACAAAGCCCAAACACGGCATTCAGCCCCAAACATAGTAATAATTTCCAAAACACAATAATATCAAACAGTTTTCAATCAAATACGCGACTTAATAGCCGTACGATATGGACAAGTCACAATCCCCAACGGTGCACGACCCCACGCTCGTCATCTAGCGTGTGCGTCACCTCAAAATAGCACAACGATGTGTAATCCGAGGTTTCAAACCCTCAGGACAACATTTAAAATCATTACTTACCTCGATCCGGTCCAAACTCTAGCCCGCAATGCCTTTGCCTCTCGAATCGGCCTCAACTCGCCCCGAATCTATCCAAAATAAGAATCATAACATCAAAATAGGCTAAAGGAACAAAGCCCATGCGAAAATATTCAAATTACATTGAAAATCCCGAAATTGGCCAAACCCGAACCCCAGGCCCATGCCTCATAATCCAATAAAAATCACACCAATAGAATCCTTATCCTCCCACGAGTTCATACATATCAAATACATCAAAATCCGACCACAAACGACCCCTCAAATCCTCAAATCAAGGTCTCCGGTTTCAAGCTCTAATCCCCCAATTTTCTTCCTTAATCTCCACTAATACCATGATTAAACAATGGAAAATTGATCATAAACACAAGTAATGAAGCTTAAGAAACTTACCCAACTGAAACTCTTCGATTCTCTTGAAAAATCACTGCCCTAGCTCTCTTCCCTTCTTCAAAAATGGCAAAACTTAGCAAAACTTTGCGAAGGCATCTATTTATATGTTCTGCCCAGCGATACCGCATCTGTGGTCCATTTCCCGCATCTGCGGGATAGCTTCTGCGCCTATCCAACCGCTTCTGCAGTTTTTCATTTAAATTCCCAATCCGCACCTGCGACGCCATACCCGCATCTGCGGTCTCGCAGGTGCGCTACTCCATCTGCACCTGCGACTTCTGCCTTCTTCACTTGTGGCCGCATCTGCGGCTGATTCTTGCTTCTGCGGTCATCGCACCTGTGGTCCCCTAACCGCAGGTGCGGTTATGACAGAACCAGCAGCTTCAACTGCATCCTCAAATTCCCAAACTTTCCGAAAATCTTCCAAATTCATCCCAAAGCCCCCGGAACCTCAACCAAAAACACGAACAAGTCATATAACACTATTCAAACTTATACCAACCCTCGGAACACTCAAAACAACATCGAATCATCAAAACATCCTCGGATTCAAGCCTAAGGTTTTCAAAACTTCCGAATTCCCCTTTTGATCAAAAGGTCTATCAAAACTTGCCCGAATGACCTGAAATTTTGCACACACCTCCCAAATGACACAAGCACCCACTCCAATTTTCGGAATTCCATTCAGACCCTTTTATCAAAATCTCCACTACTAACCGGAAAACGCCAAAATTCCAATTTCGCTAATTCAAGCCTAAATCTACCACGAACCTCCAAAATTCATTCCGATCAGCTCCTAAGTCCCAAATCACCGAACGAAGCTATCTGAATCATAAAAACCAAATTCCGAGATCGTTTACTCACAAGTCAACTTCCGGTTGACTTTTCCAACTAAAAGGCCAACTTAAGAGACTAAGTGTCTCATTTCTCTACAAAACCACACCGAATCCAAACTAACCAACACGATGCGATAAAATACGGCTGAACAACATATAAAGAAGCAGAAATGGGGGAAACGGAGCGGTAACTCATGAAACGACCGGCCAGGTCGTTACAAAGAAAGAGTGACAGTCTAAATGCCCTGTAGCCTCCTGCTTATAAGTGTGGTGCATGACACACCCATAAAAAAGACTCTACTAGACACGGCTTGTAGATTCCCTAGGACAGAACTGCTCTGATACCACTTCTGACACGACCCAAACCGATGGGCCGCAACGGGCACCTAATACCTTACTCAACCGAGTACCAACATAACATATCTTTCTTATTGTACTTTCATTGGCAAATGGGCTAAACGGGCCGTCATGGGCTAACCAGAATAGACATAGGGGAATAATCAATATAGGACGACCCAACCAGATATATAAAAAAATTATACATGTGACATACGGGCCTATAAGGCCAACATGATCATTTGTAGACTCAAACCATAGGCCGGCAAGGCCATACAAGCATCTGTATACATGACATCTATCTACAAGCCTCTAAGAATACATACTTATCATTAAGGTCGTGACAGGGCCCTGCCATACCAAACAATACACGACTAAATCATACTGACCAAACAAGCAACTCCGGAGTAAATAGAGCGCACCAACATCTTCCTAGCGTACTTGGAGGACTCTCGACCTGTCTATCGAGACCTGCGGACATGAAACGCAGCGTCTCCAGGCAAAAGGGACGTCATTACGAATAATGTACCGAGTATGTAAGGCACATAAATAAGTACATAAAAGACATGGAAGAAATATAGAGTAAATGACTCAACCTGTAAGTCTGGATAACTCTGTATATCATGAAATATTTATAGTGTCATGCATATGCGTATGAATGTGATGTCGTGCATATGTACATGTGTTCATAATATCATCAATCCTCTAAGGGCATCCCATCATATAATCTCGGCCACTGTGGGCAAATCATCAACGATACCAGCTGATAAGGTGTTGGTGCGTATATATCGCCATAACTTTTCCCATATCCCAAATACATATATATACAAATATATACGCA